CTGAGGCCGATGCGAGGTGGCGAGGTTCGTGTGTGGGGGGTGTGGGGAGTTGGAGAAAGAGGAGGGGGGGGGTGTTCTCCAGGGTCGCTTTTGGGAACAAAGAGCGGTATTGAGGAGGGGGAGGCGGTGGTGCCGCGTGTGGTGAGAGCGGCCGCGTTTGTCAAGAGGGGAGCAGGTGAGATACAATGAGAAGCCTTGTCATTAGCACACACACGCATATTAAGACAAAGATCCCCCGTGTAGTCTTTGCAGACTGTTGGGGCAAGTGCTGTTGGCGAGCACCTATGAAGGCCGGAACGGCACACGACGGGGTGGGTGGCCAGCGCCACGCCCGACCGCCTTTGTCTCCCCAGTGCCTTTTTTACACACCACACCAGGTACTAATATTAGGCTGAGTCGACCTAGGGGAGGGCCAGGACCGGTTCGGATAATCGTCACTGGGGCTGGTGGCCATGAGCGGGAATCGAACTCGGGTCGCCGGGTTCGTAGGGCAGCGCGCTCATCGCTAACCGCGACACTACCACCCCCCACACACAAACATCCACCCCCCACCCCCCATATCGCCTTAACACACACACACTTACATACACACACCGCACACATACACACCACATAAAAAAGACAAAGATCCCCCCGTATAGCCTTAACATACTATAGGGGCAAGTGCTGTTAGCGAGCACCTATAAAGGCCGGCACGGCACACACGAGGGGGTGGGTTGCCAACACCACGCCCGGCCGCCTTTGTCTCCCTCGTGGCGATGTTTACACACCGCACCAGGTACTCATTTAAGGCTGAGTCTTAACACACACATACACACTCCGCATACCCGTACACACACGCGTGCACACGAGGCCCTACGCTCGCACACGGGGACCTGCCGAACACAGCGGAGCAATGCTCCTCTGCAAGCCGTGTGGGATGCGCGCGGGGAGCGGTGGCGCAGGGGTTAGCGCGCTACGCTGCGCTACGAACCCCCCGGTGACCCGAGTTCGATTCCCGCTCACAGCCATCGGCACCAGTGACGATTTATCCGAACCGGTCCTGGGTCTCCCCTTGGTCGACTCAGCCCCAAATGAGTACATGGTGCGATGCCTAAATATTACCACTGGGCAGATAACGGCGGCCGGGCGTGGTGCTGGCCACCCACCCACCCCTTCGTGTACCGTGCCGATCTTCATAGACGCTACTGGCTAACGGCACTTGCCCCAACAGTCTGTCAAAGGCGAAACGGGAAGATCTTTGTCTTTGCGCGCGGTCAACAAGTTTCGAGGATCACGCTCTTGATTTAGAGCAGTCACAATCGTCATGATTGTCGTCAGCCCTCCTGTCAGTTCCCAATCTGCACGGAGGCCTCACGTCGCTCACGAGCATCATGAGCGAATGGTTTATCCACTCGCGGATGAAGCCCCCAGCAGCACCTTGTCCCCCAACTCCGCCGGGTCGGTCGGGTGGAGGAGAGGCGTGACGTCGGCACGCACCAACCCGACCTCAACGCCGTGGGATGCGCGTGACGTCATCACGCAGACGTACGCCATGACGTCACCACCAGCCATGGCCAGCGCAGCCAGGCAAGGCCGCCAACCAGCCAGCAAAACTTTTTTTTTTCTCTCCCGAATATTGTACAGGCAGACCTCACTTAGCGCGACTCCATAGAACGCTGGTTCGTTCATAGCGCTCTTTGTCCTGGAAACATTCTTCGTACGAACAAAAATAAAATTATTTTTTTTTTATCTATAAAGCGCTGGCCGAGGAAACCTCCCAATCATCCTCTCAGACATTGACAGCGACGCACGCTTTGAGTCAGCCAGACCAGATTACCCCCCTCCCCCCACCCGCGATTCGATTATCACGATTCGTAAAGTTGGACGTGCGCGTGTGTGTGTGGAGGACGGGGTGCTGCTCATCGATAGAAACACGCGCAACGGATGAACGCTCCCAGATTATTTTTTTCTTTTCTTTTTTAAAACCACCTGCCTCCTCGTAAATGCAAGTGAACACGGAGCGACGAACGTGTCTGTCCCTCGCGGGCCGAGGGACAGAGACAGGTCACGTTGCGCGGTGTGACCCCAGCGGCCGCGTTGCGACGCGATAATATTGCCGGCAATGACAGCTCCTGTCGGCTGCGCTCATTAGTTGGCATTTATCAGCTGCGCTAATTAATTGGCGTTTATCAGCCCCGCAGGGAGTTTGCGTAATCGTCGCTTTACGAGGGCGCAAGCGATGATTTGTCCGTGACATTTGTTTTTTTTGTCAATAGTGTTTTTTTGTGTGTGATCAGAATCAGAATATGTATTCACGCTCCTCCGGTTGGCCTACGTAGGGTGCGAAAGAAGTTCAACATACTTACAAACATACATGCCGATGAGCTATAAAGCTCTTTTTCGCGTTGGCAGCCGTGGTGCAAAGCCACAAACAATAAACATCACCTCAATAAGCACCGTTGCGGACTTAAAAGGATTAATATATATAATAGGCGACGTTTCGGGCAATGGCCCTTCTTTATAGGTACACAGGTAGAGATGCCGGACAGGTTTGTCTCTCTCGTTGACGATAAAGCGGTGAGTGGAGGGGGGGGGGAGGTGAGGGGGGTGAGCGGGGTGGGTGGGTGGGTGGTGGTGTTACAATGGAAGGAGGTTTCTGAAATAATTCATTCGACAACGAAGCAACGCGTTGCGCCTACGCTCGCTCGGCCTAGAGAAGGCACGAGTACACGCGACGCGTCACCGTGTGCACGTGCCTAGAGAAGGCACGAGTACACGCGACGCGTCACCGTGTGCACGTGCCGAGAGAGGGCACGTGTACACGTGCGCACAGCTCCCTCGGCGAACGCACTGCCGGAGGGCGGGGTGGAGGTGACGGCATTCCCCGCGCCGTGCGGCGCGCTACGGTGGGAAGCTTCATTAGGACAGACGGAGCCGTGCCGATCCGCGCAGTGCCGGGGGTTGCTGAAGGAAGACGGTGGGGGGGGGGAGGGGGTAACACAGACGTGGGAGCATAGAAGTACTGCACAACGGTGGATTGTTCTGATGCTCCGCCCTCTACTGCCCATCACTGCGTCGCTCCCCGGTAGACTGCAACGTCTCCTGTGCGTGGTAATCGGTCCATGTTTCGTACAGGCTCAAACACCCCCCCCCCCCACACTGCGCTGAGCCTTCTGAGATCTTAACGGGATCGGGTACAATGCGGAGAGACGGAATATCCACGGGTCGGGCTATATCACGTACAAGAAGAAGAAAAAAACAGACCAGTCCATTAAGTGAGCAAGCTTAGACCCGTGTGTAAAAAAACACACACACACATCCCTCCAGGCATTCGCCAATCCCGCTGGTAGGCCAGAATAGCGTTAAACGCTTTTAAAATATTATATTCCTGGTTTCGCGATCCGTTGCCAATGATAATATTTCGCTGGCAATCTTTGGCAAAGGGAACGGGCGTGGGGGGGGGGGGGAAGAACCACGCAGACTTAGGCATTGGTGCTGGAGGGTTCTGTGGTGAGTTGGGCTATAGAGTTGGTGAGCTGTGTGGTGAGTTTTGTATCGGTGATGGTGAGCTGCGTGGTTAGTCTAGTATCGGTGATGGTGAGCTGCGTGGTGAGTTCAGTATTGGTGTCTGTTGGCTTGTTGGCTTCCTATGAAACGGCACTTGCAGCAGCTGATAGCTGCCCACGGCGGCAACGAGAGGGCACTGGTAATGACGTCTGGAACAAGGAGCCCTCTGTGTATTTTGCACGGCTCGCTCTGCTGATGAGGCCTGGGAGGGCGAAGCCGATGCCAGAGTTATTGCGCTTAATCAAATGTTCCCGGTTAACATAAGCGAAGGCCGATAGGCTGCAATAAAGATCGTATTGATTTGAAGCTTTCGTGACTGCAGGAATTCACACTCTTTGGTTCTTTCGGTAAAGTCACGTAGGTATAAAAAAATTATAGATCACGACGTTTCGATCGCAACACAAGCGATCATCATCAGATCGTCATCGTCATCACCTGATAACGATTGCTTGTGTTGCGATCGAAACGTCGTGATCTATTCTTTTTTCTACCGACGTGACTTTACCGAAAGAACCAAAGAGTAAAGATTGTTTTGCTGAGGAGTTATGGAACAGCAATAACTAGTATCGCCCACAATATCGCGGCGTGGATACGACTCGTGTATGCTTTGATCCAGAGGTGTAGTGATCTTGGCTAACGATGCATGCTGAACTTCTTTCGCACCGTACGTAGCCCAACGGCGCCAATCGGAGGCGCGGAACCACGATGATGAATCATCAGCCGGGGTATGAAAAAAATAAGAATCGGGGTTTACCCTTTCTGGCGATAAAACAGTTGTCGAGATGTCAAACACCAAACCTTTCACCAAGCAATCATCAGCCGGGGATCAATCCACTGCTGGATGAAGGCCTCCCCACGCTCCTGCGAAGCACCCAAATGCTGTTGCATTCCGCACGCCAGCCGAATACATCGCTCCGTCTCCGCGTGAGATTTCCCTTGTCGGCTCGCTCGCTCGCTCGCTCTCCCTGCCGCCTGTCCCTTACGTTGTCAATTTGCGTTACTTTATGTTCGTCTGACGCCATTGATTTATTAAAAAAAACTAGTCACTTATTTTTTGCAAGCAACATTAAATCTAAAAAGTCTCCCTCCTCGCCCCCCCCCCCCGCGTCTCACCCAACCACACCCAACACTCCCCCACCTCGCAACCACCCACCTACCCAACCACTCACCCACCCACCCACCTCCCTCTGCCTCACTCATTCTGCTCCCCTCCTCACCCTTATTCTTAACACCCCCACCTCTCTCGCCCCCCCCCCCCCGCCTCCCCCCTCTCGAGCCACCAGTGGAACGAGTGAGTTTAGCGAGCAATCCAACACACGCCCCATATCCCACCCACCCACCCACCACTCTTCCAACCCCCTCTCTCCCCCCCTCTCTCTCAAGCCCCTCCGCCCACAAATTGCCGTGACCTCCCATGAATAAGAGGCGGCTCGCCTGTAGGAGCGTGGCCAGTGCACTAGCCCTGCCAGTCCCCCGCCAGGAGAGACAGACAGAGAGAGAGAGAGACCAGAGTGGAGACCTCCAGTTGTGAGCGCGAGCGCGCTGAGAACGACGAACATCGCCCGACGAGAGAGAGAGAGAGACGCGGAGAAGACAAAGAGAACGAGGGAGACAAGAGGAGGGAGAGACACGAGGAAGGATCCACGTGGGAAGGTGGACTGGCACGGCACGGCACGCGCGCGCACGCGATCCACGACCAGGGCTCGAGAACGCCCGAACATAACCCGGCAAAAGAAAATCGGTAGAATTCAATAATTGAAATTTCTCATTTTTTTTGTTTAAGTCCAGCACGCGCGTCCCCTGCACCAGCCCTGCGTCTGCCCCTCTCTGCTTCTCGCGTGACCCAGGTGAGCGCCTCTGTCGGGTGCATCTGTGCGGCTATGATGGTGACGGTGCTGATGACTATCTGTGACGATGTGCAACAGTGAATTATTCAACCAGGTGAGAAAGAGCCCATTCAAATGAGATTATTGCAAAGGAGGCATTGGCTTTGATTGCTGATGATGGGGGTGTTGGCATGTTGGTGAAGTCGTGGTGGTGGTGATTGATGGCGTTGTGGTGGTGGCAATGATGAAAGTAGTCGTGATGACAGTGGTGGTAATGATGATGATGATAGCGAAAAATGACCATAGATGAATGAATGGAGGATGATGGACAGCGATACTATTAACGACCGGTGCTAACTTTCACGTGCGTCAATTAAAACAGCCGTTCGTCTCCACCGGATTGCCCCATCAATGGATCATCGCCACGGCCACGCGCCTCGTCGATTGACAGCGATTGCTCATTCGCGTTGGAGGTGGCGCGTGTCTCGGACCGCAGGGCACCCCCGGGGGGGGGGGGTCCCTCGGCCGCTAACGAGAGGCGCGTCTCATTGCGATTTCACGGGGCAATTTGGAGAAGCCCCTTACATCTGGAGAGAGCGGCGCGAAGCGACACGCACACTCAGGATGCAGCCCTCTCGACTCCGTCCAGGCCCTGCCGCTTCGCAGCGTTGAACATCTCACGCGGCCCAATAAGATCACCCCCCCACCCACCACCACCCCCTACCCACATCTCGCGCCAAGTAGGAAAAAAGACGCGTGTGTAGTGATGCGTCTATAATGTACACACGTGCCGAATTCTCCGCGTGCGATTCAAATCGAACTAGCAGCCCGCGCGTTCTTTGGCCGTGCCCGTCCATCGGTGCCTCCATCCCTGCGGATGTGGCGCCGTGCCAGCCAGCCAGCCAGACAGTGACACGTGTGTTTCTCATGCTGTATGAAGTTGCGGTTACGTCTTTATACTCCGGTAGATGTGTGCGTGTGCGATCAGATTGCGATCGCTTTATGGGACACCGGATGCACTTTTCGGGTGCGTCCAACTCTCTGGGGTTGTCTTATGATCCATAAAATACGATCATGAGGACGTTAGTATTACTATAATCTACAGTAGAAAAACACAATGTTGATAGTAACTTTCAACAATTTTCCAATTCCACTGCTGGATGAAGGCCGCCCCTACTCTCTGTCGGTCGCGGCGGCTGTTTGACCATACTTCACCACGCCGGCCAGTGTGGGGATTGGTGAATGTGGTCGAAAGAGAGAGAGAGAGGGGGGGGGGGATTTCGAGGACTGCTCAGATACCACTCGCTGCCGTTGATGCGAATCCGAGGCCACGGATCGAATCTCACGTGGCCGGGTTCGTAGCGCGGTCACGCCAACCACAGCGACACCGTCTCCCCACAGTGTATCTCTCTCGCTCTATATATAGGCACACAAACACACACACACACTACACACGATGAGATGTGCAGATTAAATTCCACCGCGTTCCTAGCAAAACGCCCCCCCCCCCCCGAATTTAATTTCGGAACGAAACAAAGGAAATGTTAATTGGGCGGTGTTTGTTGGCCCGATCCGCGCGTAACGAGGAAGCCGTGCGCCTGTTTGCTCTGCTCGGGGGTGCTCCGATTTCAAAATTTGAAATTAAAACCAGGACGAAACGAAGATTTGTAGAGCGCGCAATTGCGCCCACCCACGCCGCCTCCCTCCTATCACAGGATGCGTTGAGCAGACCACACTCGTACAGGGAGAGCGACTCAGTCAAGCATGGGCAATATAGATACGAGCGTGCATTTCTTGAGCTTGGACTTGGAAGGGGGGGGGGGGCAGGTAGTCGACAGCACGGATGCCTGGGGGAGGGGTGGGGGGATGGAGCTTCCAGGCGATTGGGTACAGCAAAAGAGAAGCAGCGACCTCCCCACTCGTTGAGTGAAGGCTGATTTGGGGGAGCTTCGAGAGAAAGCCTGAGTTGCTGGAGCGGAGAGCACGCGGAGGGGATTGGAGCGAGATGAGAGGGGAGAGGGAGGAGAGTACGTGGAGGGGAGTGGAGTGAGATGAGAGGGGATAGGTAAGAGAGTGCGTGGAGGGGAGGGGAGTGGAATTAGAGGGGAGACAAAGGAGAGTGCGTGGATGGGAGTGGAGTGAGATGAGAGGGGAGAGGTAGGAGGGTGGGAGAAGGGGAGTAGAGTGAGATGAGACGGGAGAGGGAGGAGAGTGCGTGGAGGGGAGTGGAGTGAGATGAGAGGGGATAGGTAAGAGGGTGGGAGAATGGGAGTAGAGAGATGAGAGGGGAGACGTCGGAGGGTGTTTCACCTTGATGAGGGTTTGTGAAGTCTGGAACTCCTAGGCAGGAACAATTCACATCGCCGTGGCCTGGAATAGAACTCGGATCGCTGGGTCCATAGGGCGTTACAACAACCATAGGCGATGGCTTTGAGAGGCCTTCACACAGCAGTAGATAGACCATGGCTGCTGATGATGCTGATGAATACTCAACAGCCCACGTGTGTAAGCGCTGCTGACCGAGACTCGCACGCACGTTGCCACAATTCATTGTTAATTGAACGAGTCTCAGTGAATGGGTTGGGGTTGGTGAATCAAGCACGGATTTACGACTACTATAGCTGGAGCGCTGGCTAAGGTTGGCGAGTTGCTTGGGGAGATTGTGTTTCTTTTTTAACCCAGCAGTGGATTGATCATGTTTGATCGTGATGATGATAATGATGCCCACTCGGCTGGGCAAATAGTTGGTTGTCTGTAGTAGGCAGTACAGCAAGTAGGTTCGTGACACGTCCTGACCGAGAGCCCGTGGTGCGGACATCGTTTGAGCACGTGTCCCCGCGCATGCGAAATGAATCGTCATAATCATTGATTCATCATTTAATCAAAAAAAATTCAAACATCAAGCATCAAGAATCATCTCATCATCATCGAGTCATTAAATCATCACATCATCTTTATTAATTTTGCACATATTGTATGTATGTTGAACTTTTTTCGCACCGTACGTTGCCAACCGTGCTAATCGGAGGCGCGGGGGAGCACGTTCGTCGCTCGTTGCAAAGCTCCGCGGTTCCAACCCAGCGGCCGCTCCGATTAATACTGCTGCGGGTGTTGTATTAACCGCAGTAGCACTTTGCGCCTTTTTTTCATCGGTGGACGTTTAAATATCCCCCTGGTGTCATTCGCAAGAGTAGGCCATTGGGTGCCAGGCGCCACGGCGCAAAATGTGGCAACGTTCGAAAGTTCCCCGCAAATTCTCCTAAATTGGGACCTCACGAACACACAGCCGCAACAGCAGCAATCAATGCCCCCTACTGGCAGATCCATGCTCCCCAGGTCACTCTCGCAAATTCTTTCGTATGGAATTGTGAAAAGCAACAGTGTTTTTGTCTTAATGATCGTCATAAATGAATGCAAAGGTTCTTCATCCAGTCCAATGAGGTGGTTGACGCAGTGTGGATTTCAACGATACCGCCAGGATGTGCATGGATGGAGCATTCGTCGGTGCATTCGTCGCAAGTGAAACTTCCCCATCCCAGTCTCGTCGCCTTCTCGCCTGTGTCAACAAAAAATCAACTCAAATTTTCCTTAATAATAGTAATAAAAACACAGCTTTGTGAGCGAGATTCACTTGCAGCGAAAAGCGCTCGCTCGCTCGCTCGCTCGCTCACTTCCCTCCGCAATTTGAAATCAGCGCGCATTTCGAGCAGTGGTTCTTAACCTTGACTGCAGCCTTCACCCCCCCCCCTTGGTTCTCAGAAGAGGCATCTGGCAACCCCGGGTTAAGAACCACCGGTTTAGAGTTGTGTTGTGCTGCTGTGAATGGCCTCACACGGTAAGCCGCCTCGCTGAGCTCTCATCTGTGATCAGCAAGGGTCGCTTCTGAATGAAGAGCGTCATAACTCAGTGGGCCTTACCTGGTGAAATAAAGCAAAGAATAGTTGTTAGTTAGACGCACTCGCCCGCACCCCCCCCCCCCCTCTACTACCCGCCTTGTGCCCTGACCGCAACACGAGGAAGGGGATTAGGGGGTGTATGGGGTCACGGGGTAGGGCTGGGGTCTCGGCCGAGTGTCGGTGTTTGTGTCAGATATTAAAAACGCGTGCATACTCGTTCAACCCAGGCAATCGGCAATCAAAGTAACAAGAAGAACCATGTTTTTTCGCTTCTTCTTTTTCAATTTTCCGTACGGAACTCAAGTATTTCAAGAGCCGCGCAACGCACGTGGCGATTACGATACGCTGACGTTCCTTCAATCAATCACCGTCACGCAGCGGTCCTTGAAGAGCCGCACGCGTTTCCCGAGCTACAGGTTGCTGACCCCTGGTGTCGACCCCCAACTTTGGATCCCTCTCCTGCCCCCTTCATCCTCCCTCTCCTCTCCGACCCTGGCTCCATTCTCCCCCCCCCCTCCCTCCACTGTGGCTTAACAGACGCGCCGATTCATCGATTAGTATCGATTATAAAAGCTCACGGCGCATCACGTGCACGGGACAGCTAGCGCAAAGAATCGCGCATACATATACGGTGCAGAGACTCATCTACTTACGAACACTCGACTTACGAACTTTCAGAGGTTACGAACAAAGCTGTCCGTATGTCCAGTTGCCTGTTTCGGACCGAGAGTCGAAAGCTCAACTGCCGCGCAATAGACGGCGGTGGTGGAATCTACATCTGCAGAACACGAAGAACCAGTGGCATCTACATCTATAGAAGATTATGCAACTTTTAAATATATTCCCCGTTTTTAGTGTGCACGCCGTACAACACGTTTGGAATCGACGGGAGTAAAGTTGGACTTAGGAACACATCGACTTACGAACAGTATCCTCTGGAACCTAACTCGCTCGTAAGTAGAGGAGTCCCTGTATTTATTCAGCTTCGTGTGCGTACCTAACGAGTTTCGATGACGTCAACCCGCCAGCCACGAGAAGCCGCTGCATTCATCGGAGTGTAGAAAACCAAAAATACGAGTATCATCTGCGTCTCGACCGTCCGCCAGTAGAGGGCCGCTACGTTCG